ATGCAGCATGCCATTTCAGCTTTCATTTTCATCTTTTATTAATCAAAGCACTAAGTATTTTTCATTAATTGAATGAATTCTAAATACTATAGTGTCATTTTCATAATAGGTAGCATATCACCTATTTCCTTTAATATTGGAAAGGTTAGCACTGTGTAACTTTTACTTAACTAAGAGAAACAAAAACTAAATTCTTTCTGCACTATGCTTGAGTAAATATGTGTTTTAAATCTTATAGAACATACTATAAAAGAAATCTGTTTTTCTACACATATCTTGCTTTTAGAGTAGATTTCACTTACAGGTATATTTTTAAAGAATGATTTTGACTTGTAAGTGGAAGAATTATTTTTTAAATTACACATTATAATTACTAAACTAAAAGTTACACTATAAACATAGCCTATTTAATTTTTATACGACCGCAAAAAATTTTGCTGTCATATATTGGTATCACGTCCTCATCTTCAGCGTCGTCCAAAGACATTTGGTTTCCAGACAATAACTTTAGTAAATGTAAATAGAAATCTATGAAATTTAAATATAGGCTTTATAACCACAAAAGGAAGGTTGGTATTGATTTTGGGGGTTATAGTTCAAACAGTTTAGGAATTAGGGGCCAAAAAGGGGCCCAAATAAGCATTTTTCTAGTTTCCAGACAATAACTTGTGGAATGGTGTATGGATCTCTCTGAAATTTACCACAAATTTCCATACCACAAAGGGATGGTTAGGATTGGCTTTGGGGGGTTATTGCTCAAACCGTTTATGAATTAGGGGCAAAAAAGGGGGAAAAACAAGGGTTTCCTGGTTAATGGACAATTAAAAAAAAGTACAATGTTATGTTTGGATTACCTCCCTTAAACTGCTTTTAAATTATGTATAAAGAAATGTTGTATTGTCTTGAGGTGATTAGCTGTCAATTTATTTTTAGAAGTTACTATTTAAAAAAGTTGATTAAGGAATATTAATTTTAGCCATGATTATGTATGTCATTTTCTATTTTAAGACTTTTATGATGTATTTAAATTGGTAATTACGGTTGCAAACTTCATTGGAAATTTGAATTGAGATTATGACCATATCTTGAGGGAAAGTATTTATTTTTTGGTGGGGGGGGGGGGGGGGGGGGGGGGGGGGGTCAATTCGCAACAGCAAAGTGTATTGCACAAAAGCAAAAAATTGAATATAAATTCAAATCATATAACCAATTCTAAGTTCTTTGACTACAGTTATTCTGTGTCAGAAACCTATTATGTGTTAAATATTTAATTACAATCCAAATTCAGACCTGTATCAAGCATGAATATTGTGTCCATTTTTGCCCCAACTGTTCAGGGTTGGACCTTTGCGGTCGTATCCAGATGCGCTTGGCGAAGCAATCTATTTAAACTTCGGAGGCAAATTTTGTGTTTTTTTTCTTCTTTTTAGCTCACCTGGCCCGAAGGGCCAAGTGAGCTTTTCTCATCACTTGGCGTCCGTCGTCCGGCGTCGTCCGTCGTCGGCGTTAACTTTTTACATTTTGAACTTCTTCTAGAGAACCACTGAATGGAATGAAACCAAACATGGCATGAATGTTCCTTATGAGGTGCTGACCAAGTGTTGTTACTTTGTAGCCGATCCATCATCCAAGATGGCCGCCAGCGGGGGACTTAGTTTAACATAGGACCCTATGGGAAATGCATACAAATGACTTCTTTTAGAGAACCACTGAATGGAATGTAACAAAACATAGCATGAATGTTCCTCACAAGGTGCTGACCAAGTGTTGTTACTTTGTAGCTGTTCCATCATCCAAAATGGCCACCAGTGAGGGACTTAGTTTAACATAGGACCCTATGGGAAATGCATACAAATGACTTCTTTAAGAGAACCACTGAATGGAATGAAACAAAACATAGCATGAATGTTCATTAGGAGGTGCTGACCAAGTGTTGTTACTTTGTAGCTGATCCATCATCCAAGATGGCCGCCAGCGGAGGACTTAGTTTAACATAGGACCCTATGGGAAATGCATACAAATGACTTCTTTTAGAGAACCACTGAATGGAATGAAACAAAACATAGCATGAATGTTCCTTACAAGGTGCTGACCAAGTGTTGTTACTTTGTAGCTGTTCCATCATCCAAAATGGCCGCCAGTGAGGGACTTAGTTTAACATAGGACCCTATGGGAAATGCATACAAATGACTTCTTTTAGAGAACCACTGAATGGAATGAAACAAAACATAGCATGAATGTTCATTAGGAGGTGCTGACCAAGTGTTGTTACTTTGTAGCCGATCCATCATCCAAGATGGCCGCCAGCAGGGGACTTAGTTTAACATAGGACCCTATGGGAAATGCATACAAATGACTTCTTTTAGAGAACCACTGAATGGAATGTAACAAAACATAGCATGAATGTTCCTTACAAGGTGCTGACCAAGTGTTGTTACTTTGTAGCTGTTCCATCATCCAAAATGGCCGCCAGTGAGGGACTTAGTTTAACATAGGACCCTATGGGAAATACATACAAATGTCTTCTTTTATAGAACCACTGAATGGAATGAAACCAAACATGGTATGAATGTTCCTTATGAGGTGCTGACCGAGTGTTGTTACTTTGAAGCCGATCCATAATCCAAGATGGCTGCCAGCGGGGGACTTAGTTTAACATAGGACCCTATGGGAAATACATACAAATGTCTTCTTTTAGAGAACCACTGAATGGAATGAAACCAAACATTGCATGAATGTTTCTTATGAGGTGCTGACCTAGTGTTGTTACTTTGAAGCCGATCCATAATCCAAGATGGCCGCCAGCGGGGGACTTAGTTTAACATACCACCCTATGGGAAATACATACAGATGTCTTCTTTTAGAGAACCACTGAATGGAATGAAACCAAACATGGTATGAATGTTCTTTATGAGGTGCTGACCGAGTGTTGTTACTTTGAAGCCGATCCATAATCCAAGATGGATGCCAGCGGGGGACTTAGTTTAACATGGGACCCTATGGGAAATACATACAAATGTCTTCTTTTAGAGAACCACTGAATGCAATGAAACCAAACATGGCATGAATGTTCCTTATGAGGTCTTGACTAAGTGTTGTTACTTTGAAGCCGATCCATCATCCAAGATGGCCGCCAGAGAGGGACTTAGTTTAACATAGGACTCTATGGGAAATACATACAAATGTCTTCTTTTAGAGAACCACTGAATGCAATGAAACCAAACATGGCATGAATGTTCCTTATGAGGTGCTGACCAAGTGTTGTTACTTTGAAGCTGATCCATCATCCAAGATGGCAGCCAGCGGGGGACTTAGTTTAACATAGGACCCTATAGGAAATACATACAAATGTCTTCTTTTAGAGAACCACTGAATGCAATGAAACCAAACATGGCATGAATGTTCCTTATGAGGTGCTGACCAAGTGTTGTTACTTTGAAGCTGATCCATCATCCAAGATGGCAGCCAGCGGGGGACTTAGTTTAACATAGGACCCTATGGGAAATACATACAAATGTCTTCTTTTAGAGAACCACTGAATGCAATGAAACCAAACATGGCATGAATGTTCCTTATGAGGTGCTGACCAAGTGTTGTTACTATGAAGCCGATCCATAATCTAAGATGGCCGCCAGCGGAGGACTTAGTTTACCATAGGACACTATGAGAAATACGTACAAATGTTTTCTTTTAGAGAACCATTGAATGGAATGAAACCAAACATGGCATGCATGTTCCTTTTGAGGTGCTGACCGAGTGTTGTTACTTTGAAGCTGATCCTTCATCCATGATGGCTGCCAGATGGGGACAATGTTTAACAAAGGACCCTATGGATGATACATACAAATGTTTTCTTTTAGAGAACCACATACTGAATGGATTGAAACCAAACATGGCATGAATGTTCCTTATGAGGTGCTGACTAAGTTTTGTTACTTTGAAGCTGATCCTTCATCCATGATGGCCGCCAATAGGGGGACTTCCTTTAACATAAGACCCTATGGGAAATACATACAAATGCTTCTTCTAGAGGTGCACTGAATGGAATGAAACTAAAACATGGCATAAATGTTTCTTATGAGGTGCTGATTAAGTGTTGCTACTTTGTTGCCGATTTACTGTTCAAGATGGCCACCAGGATTTTTTATTAAATTACAGGACCAATATTAAACCAAATTTGGCCTCACTCATTATTAGGGTATCTGTTATGATTTTAATCTATTTTTACATGATTTCCAAAACCAAAGTAGAATCAGGTGAGCGACACAGGCTCTTGAGAGCCTCTAGTTTTTTCATTTTTTTGTCAGTATACAAGTTTGAAAAACAATCAGCATAATGTTTGTAAGAGTGATATATAGAGATCTATCCACAAATCACTATACAGAGAAATAAGGATTTGTTAACACTAACCCCTCCAAAAATAGGTTAATCATGCTCTAGAGGGTAAGCAGTACTTTTATATGAGAGCTTCTTTTTAACCTAGAAACTATCATTGTTGCAAAATTTCTTTAATGATTATATTTACCACTTAATTACATTTCTTACCTTTTTTTTTTAATTTTATTTGAAATGTAATATATGATTAACACCATGCACTTTTTTAAAAACACATTTATATATAATTACTCTCAAAATTGCAGTACATGTATTTACTTGCACCTTAACCAATAATTCATATTGCATTATGGGAAATGCCTTTGTGATATATAGGAATGATTGTATTAATTCAAATAATCCCTGGCAAATTTAACAGCAATAGTTATAGCTATAGATTAATAATGTTAACCCCATTTACAACTTTGCATTTTTAAAAGTTTTCTTTTACACTTATTTTCTGGTATAATTTAGATAAATTTTTCTTACAATAACGGTATTAAAATATTTGTAATTTGTTGAATGCTGTGGTTCATCCATATTCCCCAGAAATCCATGAAAATGAATGCCCTACAAATAATCCATAATCCATTTTTTTTTATAGACGGTTATAATTTTTCTTACAGGGACACAAAGAAAATGAAAAAAAGATTTATGTTAGTTTTGCATCAGCATTTATATCTGGAGCTGTTGCTTCTGTCTCAGTCAACCCATTTGATGGTAAGTTCTTTGATTTTAGGTTTACAACAGTAATCCCAAAAGCACATATTGGAAGGGCAGAAGCTGCTTTTGTAAATAATATATATAAACTGCATGCAATATTGTGTATCATTGAAATATTTACGAATAAAATATAAAAAGATTTGTAAGGGTTCCACGGAACCCAGTGTCTAGCCTACTTTTGCTGTTAGTCGCAGGCTCAACAAAAATGGGGAAATAGTTATTAAAAAATTTTACAATGAATTGCATTAGCACAGATTAAGTACAAGGACTGGATATTAGAAATGTCAACAATATTATTGACAAAACAATTCGACATGACTGGGGAAAGGCAAGTTCAAATGTGATTTCCTGTACCTATAATATATTCAACAGTATGTTTCTCAGTTTAATCTAAGAATTTGTATCATATGATAAAAGTCTTATAAATTGGCTGTTTCTGTATCGGCCCTCTTATAGTTTCTTGATAAGCTGCATTGGCCCTCCACTCGTTGAGTCTTGGGGCCAATGGGCTATTCCAGAAATAGTTGACTCCCCTCCCCCTATGGAAGTTGCGTGAATTTCCAGATTTTTTTAGTTTTGAGACAAAATTGTTTAGACAAACAGGTGGAAATCCAGTAATTTTTACATAATCTAAAAAAACAATTTGATTATAAATGTCTTCCATAGAGGAGGGGATAAAAAATACAGCTAACCTTGAATCTAAAAGGAAGTTAATAAAGAAACAGGCAGTATATTCTGGTAGACACCTAAGTTATTTGGAGCACCCCTCCAGAGCTGTGAGGGTACAGTGATATCTATGTACACTCCTAATCAGGATAAATGGAGATGTGTCACTAACTTATGTACAACCCATCACCAAGGACAATCCCCAACCCAACACAGAGGGAGTGTTAGGACACCAGGAAATCTGTTATTAAATGCATAGAATTTTTATCTGAAGCTTATTTACTAACTTAGATAAAGCAGAGGAAAAATGAGCTGAAATTGAATGGAGATGTGGTAAATGTAAATGAGACTATACCAGGCATATCCAAATAAAGTTCCCTGAAGTCACAAACAACTTCCTCACTTTAAGCTCTAGATCCACTACTGAACAATATTAATATAATAATATAAATAGGTATTGTATGCATGTATTGTTTTTTTATAAAAATTAAAAGTACTGAGAAATTTTGTGGGGAGGAAAAGGGGAGGTGGGGTGTGGAATATTCATGGCTTTGGAAGAGGTATCTTGAATTTATTTTCCTACTTCCTTCAAGGTGGGGACTTCAAAAAAATAAGAGCAATTCCAATGTTTCCTTCCAGGTCCCCCAATGAAAGAAAATGACCAGTCTCTGAGGTCATAAATTATGAATCAATATTGATTAGACCTGGATCTTTTTGTCTCTCATGCAACGAAAGTCCCAGAATGCAAGATAAAGGGATTACAACTAATCCAGCTGCAGTGATGGCATAAACTATTTGTATTAAACTTTATATTTCAGAAGGTAGAAGACTTTCATACTTTGTATGGAAATGCCTTATGTTAAGAAGGTTCTGTCTATCATATGTCCATTGTCATTGACCTCATTTTCATGGTTCAGCGTCTGCTTAAAATTTATTTGAGTTGTTTTATCATGTGATATACTCCCTTTTTATGAGTAATAGGGTAACTATATTTGGTATACTTATAGGTTTCATAACGAGTGAGAATTGGATATCGCTTGATATCAACTCGATTTATTTAATTTCAATATAATAATGAACGAGCGTTTTGAGAGTTTATTATTACTGTTTAAATTAAATAACGAGAGTTGGTATCAAGGAATATCCAATTCTCACAAGTTGTTAAACCTATTTCTCTTATGGTCAACACTCTGTGTTAAATTCAAACTTTAACATCGGACATTTTAAAACTTTTCGTACGCTTCAGAATGTAATAAAATTTGACAAACAGAAGATTTTCAGGTGAAAAGTGTGAGTGTTTTTTATGTTATTGAAGAAATCAAATATGTCGGTTGCCATGGACGAAATGTACATCGTCGTAACCATTGAAAGTCATCAATGACCTAACGAATAGCCAATGGAAATGTTGTAATATCGTCTCATGATGCTGGATAGACAGATTTTGGTATCACTTTTTCATATCACACTCCATGCAGTGTGATACGAGAAATATCTCTTCATGCAAGAAATAGATAATTGTAATGAACTATAAGAGAATGTATATTCAGAAATTATTGTGTGCATTTATCATTGCGATTTTTCAATACTCATACAGTCGCATCATTTGTATCAATAAAAACCTCGCAATAATTTCTGAATTTACAGTATATGATGTTTGCAAGGTCTACATGTCTGTCAGACATGGTTTACCTGACCTCAACCTCATTTCATGGATCAGTGATCAATGATAAGTTTCAATAATGTAGTCCCTATCGATCAGATACTATAGGTTGCACTCTGTAAATACAACTGTTTCTCAAACCACGCCTCTTTTGGGGAGATATATAATATTCATAGATAACTGGATTTGTTTACCTACTGGTTCCCAGGTATGATCTCTATGTTTCATCTCATAGAGACATAACTTGGGACTGTTACCAGTTTAAAAACATATTGTTGTGGTGAAAATTGAATTCTGAAGTAGGCAAAAAGTGGAGGTAGGGGTAGTACAGTATTTTAGTATAAGTTTAAACTCTAACAAGTTCAGGGCATATAATGTTGAAAATACGTCGCACAGCCCTATGTTTTGACCTTTGAATAAAATAGTAGTGCATATCAGCTTTCCATTCTAGGATATAATTTTTTACGAAACTTCATAGTAAAAGTGGCACAGTTATAGCTGCAAAGGGAGTTCCTATGGGAAATTGCATTGTCTATATTTACAGAAATGCAACCTATAAGCAATAGATCAACAGTATTTGGTGTGGAATGATTGAAAGGTGTACATTTCCTACTGGCAGGTTTTATCATTACTTGATCTCATTTTCATCGTTCATTTGTCAATGTTAAGTTTTTGTGGTTTGGTCTGTTTCTCAGATACTATAAGCAATAGATTAGATGTATTTGGAAGATGAATGATTTTAAGGTGTATATGTCCGTCTGACAGGTTTCGACTGACCTTGACATTTTTTTCAGGGTTCATTGGATAATGTTAAGTTTTTCTTGTTTGGGCTATATCTAAGATACTATAAGCCATAAGGATACTATATTTGAAATACCACAGAATGATTGTTAGGAAGACGTGTCTGTCTGGCAGGTTTCATGTGATCTTGACCTTTCATTAGTCAATGTTCAGTTTTGGTAATTAGGTCATTTTCTGTGGCCTCATGGCTTACAGTATCTGAGTATAAGCAATTGGCCAATTTTATTTGGTGTATTGTATAAAATTTGATCATGATAAATATAGCAGGTGAGACATATGAGCATGTGCACTCCTGTTGTCATTTAAGTTGCATTTTATTAAGTTCATTTTTTGTGAGTATAATATATACAAAGTTGCCTTTACAAAGACTTATAATAATCTGACCCAGTCCACCATATTGAAAGTATTTAACATTGGTAAGCTTAACTTTACTTGCATTTTTTCTCTTGAAATATTGAGATATTAGATGTATATACAAGCAGTGTTATTTAAATTTATTACTTCACTGTTTTATTATGTTCTTTTATGTTTAGCTATAAAGAAGTTTTGAAAACCTTTTGAATAATGGTATCTATGCATGGATTATTTGTGTGCATATATGAGAGAACTATTTTTGTTTCCATTCTGTTGTACAGGGCTATTGGCTATTTCTATCATTTCTAGGCATGCACACAGTTTTGGTGTGTTTTCAGTCTCTTAAAAGCAGATTATATCTAGAAAATACATTATTACCTCTCATTTGAGAATACTTTGTGGTTTTGTTTCTTTCACATGATTTATTAAACCAATTTTACTAATTTGTTAACATTATAAATACTTTTGAACTTCAATATTTGTTTTGAATAAAGATATCAGGCATTGTGATGAAATTATGAAACTTGTGAAATATACACTTTTTAAAGGCAGTGCTTTAATGCCTTTCTAGTTGCCGGGTTAATCCTTCCTTCCGCGATATCCAACTTATCTACGTGGGGGGTCATTAGGCTCCAAGTAGATCCGGAAATGTTGAATTCTCTCCTCTTCTTATTGCGATATAAAATGTTTTTTGTTTCATTTCATTTACATTGGGAAATAGAGAAACGATCATTGTGTTTTGTTAGTTTTAAAAACTTTTGATATATTAGTATTTTGCATTATAAGCAGTCAACCGATTGACAAACTAGAATTATTTGAATTCCGTGTGGAAAGAGCTCGGGTTAATTTCGAGTGTTATCTGCAATCTAGATGTTTATAAATCATTTCAGTCGTTGATACAATAATTAAAGGTCGACTGAACATGAATTATATTATACAATTTAAAGCGCATTTCTGTTTATGCACATGAACCCGTCTAACGTTATTGTAATTTCGCAGTTATATAAAGTAACAAATTATCGTTCCTGAATAGGTGGCGCCGTGGTAGCGGATCCTGTTCCTCTACTTCCGGTTTCTGCACTGTGCAACTATTTCAGTTATATTTTTAATTAACGATGCCAAGTACTTGTTGTTGTGTACCTGGATGTCATTTAAGAGGAGGACATGCATTTCCAAATGACTTAAAAAGAAGGAAAAGTTGGATCAACGCCATGGCCCATACGCAGATTGGACGAGAACACAATGATATCGTGGAGTCCATCTCAATCAGCTGTTGTTTGCAAGGCACGTTTTACTGAAAAAGACTACGTGCAGGAAACTATTCATGGTAAAACTCTATTTTCTTTGTGAAATATATAGTTATATATGTAATCGCCATGCGAATAAACCAAAGTCTGTTTACAACCGCAATTATCGTTTTAGAATAAAAGGGGGTGGGTAATTCAAGACGTCATAATTTTTTGGATTACGATTCAATGTGATCTGTTTGAAATTTTTTGGTGATTGCTACAATTAT